AAAAAAAAAAAAAAAAAAGAAAGTTCTAGAATCAGACAGAGGTGGCATCTGCACAACCTTGTGAGTGTCCTAAACGCATGTAAGTGTACAGTTGAAATGGTGAATTTCTTTCTTTCTTTTTTTTTTGAGACAGAGTCTTGCTCTGTCACCCAGGCTGGAGTGCAGTGGTGTGATCTGGGCTCACTACAACCTCCGCCTCCCGGGTTCAAGCCATTCTCCTGCCTCAGCCTCCTGAGTAGCTGGGATTACAGGCACATGCCACCACGCCCGGCTAATTTTTGTATTTTTAGTAGACGTGGTTTTGCCATATTGGCCAGGCTGGTTTCGAACTCCTGACCTCAAATGATCTGCCTGCCTCGGCCTCCCAAAGTGCTGGGATTACAGGCGTGAGCCACTGTGCCCAGCCAAAACGGTGAATTGCATGGGATGTGAGTTTTTCTACAGCGGAAACTATGCATACATGTCAGAGCGTGTGAAGTGTCAAGGATGACGCTGAGGCCAGGAGGGGTCTGGGCGGTGGGGGCAGCACTCCTGCAGAGTGTGGTGGGCGGTGTGGGGGCCGCTGGGGCTGGGTGTAAGTCAGGTGACCATGCCGGCCTCTGATGCACGTGTGCGGTCTCCCTGCGGCACCAGCTCCCAGGACAGGGGCTCCGCCGCACTTCCTGATGTGAACCCAGCAGAAGGGGCCCTGGGGCCCGACTCTGCTACTCTTGGGTTTCCTGCCCAATCTACGGACCTCCGGGTGCCTCAGTTTTCTCATCTACAAAGAGGGGGACGTAGTCACTACCTTACATGGCCACAAAGATCAGATTTCTTTTTTCACTGCTTAAAGTGTTCTAAAGATGAGATGATTTAAGACCCGAAATGTGACCTGCACGGGCCTGGGACACCATCACCGCTGCCTGTCGTAACGTCAGTGTCTGGGGCACAGAGGTGGAATTCTGACCCACCTGGGGACGTCAGCGATGGGCTCTGTGGACAGGCCAGAGGGTCCCGCCCGGCACAGCACCATATACAGAGGGACAGTAGGGGGAACAAACCCTCCTGGGGGGCTCTGCGCGGGGGTGCCTGGGATTTCTGACCCCTCTCCCAGGGGAGCTGCGTCTGGTTTCGGGGAGACACTCACCGTACAGCTGCCAGACGCGCACCCTGTCCTCGTAGGGGAGCCTGTAGCGCAGCGGGTCACCCACCGGGCCCTGGTAGTACGGCCGCATGATGGAGTGTGCCGTGGCCACGTGGCTCAACCCGATGGCATGGCCGAACTCGTGGACAGCCACTGCAAACAGATCCATCCCGTGGGCATCTGGGGACACAGGGAGCCATGTGAACCAAGGGCAGGAGGGGCCCTGTTCCTGTGAGGAGGGACCAGCAGGCCTCTGCCATGCTGTGGGGTGGGGTGGGCCCAGTCTGGGGTGCCCACAGGGGATGCCTTGGTGTCCGCCATGCCAGACGGATTCTGCAGGGTGATTTGGAATTAATATGATTGCCCCGGGGTCTCTGTGGGGCCTGCCAGGTTTCTCAGGCCTGGCGTCTTTGTGTCACTCACAGAGGGGCCGACAGCCTCTTCTGCACAGGGCCACACAGATAACACCCTGTACCTGGGCCTGGGTTACCGGGGGCCCGGTGTTGGACAGACGGCCTGAGACCCGATGCTGTGGGCACTGACCCCTCCAACCCAGACCCCATGGGATGGGCCTGGCTCCCAGGACGACCTGGTCCCCCGAGGCCACAGTCTGGCTTGAAACGGCCTCTGCAGAGCCCTGACTTCTGCAGACAATGGTACTTAGCGGGAGCGACTCCAAGCCATGGACACAGAGGACTCACAGGCCTCCTCCCGTGCCCTCCCTCGGGTGCTGAGGACATGGCAGGGATAGGCTCAGCTCCGCGGCGGCGTCCCCGCCCAACAGGCCAGCACCTAGCGAGCTCAGCCGGGCGAGCACAGGCACTGCGAGGTCAGCCCGTGGGAAATGCCCGGCCGTGCTCAGGAGCAGTGGGCGTTTCCAGCCGTGGGGCTGGACACAGGGGTGCCACGGGGGGAGCCACGGCTGCTCCTTGGTATCAAGGGCTGCCAGGGCCCCTGATCCCACCCTGGGGGCCGCACCAGACGCACCCGAGGAGCGGAAGGTCCAGGCCTCATCGTCGTCAAAGTGGGTGTCCCCTGCGGTGTGGTGGTCGCTGGGGAAGAAGGCGTGGGCCACGGTGCCGCCAGGGCCGTCAAAGGGGTAGCCGTCATTGTGGTCGGCCTTGGAGAAGTCGATCTGGATGTCGGCGGTGCTGCCCGCCACCTCATGGAAGTTCAGGGGTGCAATGTCACTCCAGACCTTGAGGGCGTAGTACATGAGTGCGCGCACCGTGTCACGGCCCAGCGGTGAGTCCCGAGGGAACGTCCGGACCCTGCGGGCAGGGGTCAGCCAGAGTCCAGTCACGGGGAGCAGGCCGCATGCCCCAGGCCGAGGCTCCCCGAATGCCCTCCTCAGCCCGGGGGGTGCCCATGCCCACCAGAGTGTCTCCCCATCTTCTGCCTTTCTCCCGTGCCAGGAGACATGTCCGACGCCCCATGAAGGTCCCAGGAGTTCACCAGGGATGGATGAGGCAGGGAGGGAGGGAAAAGAGAGCCCAGGAGGGCTGAGATCCCAGACCACAGCAAACGTGAGCTCCCACGCGGAGCCATCAGCCCAGGGCCCTCAGCGGGTGTGCCCCGCCTGCCGCAGCCCCTGCTCCCCGCAGAAGGGGCTCTCTCTAGTCATCAGCTCACACCAGCAGGACCCCTCTGAGCCAGTTTTGACCCCAGGGGACAGCAGAAGGGGACCAGTACAGGTGTGTGGGTCAAATAGTGTCCCACCAAATTCACGTCCACCCTGGCCTGAGGATGTGGTCTGCTTTGGAAATAGTGTTGGCTGGGTGTGGCGGCCGCATTTGCAGCCCCAGCACTTTGGGAGGCCAGGATGGGCGGACTGCTTGAGCTCAGGAGCTCGAGACCGGCCTGGCCACCATGGCGAAACCCCTATCTACTATTTTTTTTTTTTTTGAGACCAAGTCTCACTACGTCTTCCAGGCTGGGGTGCAGTGGTGTGCTCTCGGCTCACTGCCGCCTCCGCCTCCCAGGTTCAAGTGATTCTCCTGCCTCAGCCTCCTCAATAGCTGGGATTACAGGCACACGCCACCACACCCAGCTAATTTTTGTATTTTTAGTAGCGACAGGGTCTTGCCATGTTGGCCAGGCTGGTCTCAAATTCCTGACCGCAAATGATCCACCCACCTTGGCCTCCCAAAGTGCTAGGATTACAGGCATGAGCCACTGTGCCCAGCCCTGTCTCTACTAAAAACATAAAAAATTAGTCGGGCACGGTGGCTCAAGCCTGTAATCCCAGCTACTTGGGAGGCTGAGGTTGCGGTGAGCCAAGACTGCCCTCCAGCCTGGGTGACAGAGCGAGACGTGTCAAAAAAACAAAAAAATTAGTGAGGTGTGGTGATGTGCATGTCTGGTCCCAGCTGCTCAGGAGGCTGAGGCAGGAGGACTGCTTGAGCCCCGGAGGCCAGGGCTGCAGTGAGCTGTGATTGTGCCACTGTACTCCAGCCATGGTGACAGACCCTGCCTCAAAAACACAAAGGAAATAGGGACTTTGTGGATGTCATACTGGAATGGGGGCCCTAAATCCAAGGAATGTCCTGATGAGACATGGGAGAGGCGCTGGCGCACAGACAGGCCGGGGCGGAGGCAGAGGCTGGTGATTCTGCCAACGGCTGCCAGCAACTGCCCAGCTGGACAGAGCCTGGGACACATGTGCCCTCTGCCCCCCGAGGGCGCCACCCCGCCCACTTTTTCACATGGACTCCTGGCCTCCAGAGTGGGGAGAGAGCTCCTGCTGCATCTCAATATCCGGGCTTGTGGGCATCTACAGAGGCACAGGCATGGAGACACAGAGACCCCGCTCCTCACCCAGCCATGTGCCCACCACGTGCCCACCTCCACGGGGGCCCCGCTCCCCACCCCAGCCATGCACCCACCTCGAGACCCTGCTCCTCACCCAGCCACGTGCCCACGTGCCCACGTGCCCACCTTCACGGGGGACCCGCTCCCCACCCCAGCCACGCACCCACCTCCACGGAGACCCCGCTCCCCACCCTGGCCACGCACCTACCTCCAGAGACCCCGCTCCTCACCCAGCCACGTGCCCACGTGCCCACCTTCACGGGGGACCTGCTCCCCACCCCAGCCATGCACCCACCTCGAGACCCTGCTCCTCACCCAGCCACGTGCCCACGTGCCCACCTTCACGGGGGACCTGCTCCCCACCCCGGCCACGCACCCACCTCCAGAGACCCTGCTCCTCACCCAGCCACGTGCCCACGTGCCCACCTTCACGGGGGACCTGCTCCCCACCCCAGCCACGCACCCACCTCCATGGGGGCCCCGCTCCCGACCCCGGCCATGCACCTACCTCCACGGGGGCCCCGCTCCCGACCCTGGCCACGCACCCACCTCCACGGGGGCCCCGCTCCCGACCCTGGCCACGCACCCACCTCCACGGGGGCCCCGCTCCCGACCCCGGCCACGCACCTACCTCCACGGGGGCCCCGCTCCCGACCCCAGCCACGCACCCACCTCCACGGAGACCCCGCTCCTCACCCCGGCCACGCACTCACCTCCATGACAGGTTCCTCTTGTTCCACTTGGGTGGGGCTGCAGTATGGCGTCTCCTGCGAGCCTGGGTCAGGACGGGGAGGTCCGGAAGGGAGCAGCGAGGGGTTCTCATCAGGGCCAGGGTGGCCTCGTCTGCAGGGGTGCGTGGAGCTCAGAGCCTAGCCTCGCCTAACCCCCAGCCTAGGATCCCAAGCACCCCCAAGGCAGAGAGCCCTGACTCTGGCACCAACCTCCGAGCCACCCCCTCCTCCCACCCACTGCGGGGACCAGCCCCAGGCCCCGAGCTACACCAGGCAGGGACCCAGTTCCATTCAAGCATAGGGCAGGGCTGTGGCGGGTTGGAAGGGGCATGGCTGGCTGGCGCAGGCCTGACGGGGGCCACAGCAAGGCAGGCCACCCGCTGCCCCCCTGGAGAACTGACCCAGGATGCCGGTGGCCTCCAGGCCGCCAAACTGCTGCATGGCTGTGATGGCCCTGGACAGCTCCTCTTGCGTCCGCAGCTGTCCTGTTGCGGGGTCAGCTGGGGGCAGGTAACCAAACCTGCTTAGCCACTCCTGAAGGCAGAGGGCAGGGTGAGGGGGTGCAGCGAGGGCCTGGTCCTACCCAGCACGAAGCCTGCCAGGGGCCACCACTGCTCTGCCAGGCCCTTCCCAGCCTGATTACCACCCGGCCCCCAATCTGCCCAAAAGGCACCTCTTGCCTCTTCCCCAGGCAGCTGCTAGAAAAGTGTCTTAATAAAACTGATGTGCCTTCGATGATGCGAGCTTGCGCAGTGCACGACCTGGACAACCACTCACGGCAACCCTGCCCCACCCCATGCCTCTGAGGCTGCAAAATACCAGGGAACATTAAAAAGGCTCTTAAGTGTGGCCAGTGTCAAATGCAGGCTCTCAGCTGACGTGTGACAGGGCAGTCTGGGCCTCAAGGTCTGAAATCCCAGCTGAGAAAAGCAGTGCGCAGACACCAGTTTGAGGAATTGGGCCGCGGCTGTTCTTTCACGGGGGAGATAAGAGCCCAGGCTTGCCCGGCGCCGGGGCTCAGGCCTGAGATCCCAGCACTTTGGGAGCCGAGGTGGGGGCTGCAACAGTGAGAACCTGTCTCACAAACCAAAGCCAGGCTCCAGCCAGGCTGCAAAAGCAGGCGAGCCCCACTCAGCCACCTCCCTGCCGTGTGCCCGAGGCGAGGCAGTCTACCCCCTGGGCTGCTTCCTGAGTCCTTGGCAGGCTGGTGACGAGGATGTGAGCCGGGATGTGGAAAATCCTCACACCAGCACCAGCTCTGCTCTGAAGGGCGCACTGGGGTGGGTGGGAGGCTACCCACATCCGAGCTGAGTGGGAGCAGGAATGGGGGCAGCCCTTCAACCTGGGCAGAAACCAAGCCCTGGCCCCGAGCCCCAGTCATCTCTGCTACCCTGGAGGGGCCCCAGGGACGGGGGACCTGGGGGCCTGGGTGCCATCTGTGGGGGCTGCCTCCACCCTCAGCTTCAGTTTCTTCAACTGCAGTGGCACCCGTGCCCACTTGCAGGCTGCAATGAGGCTCCCGCTCTGCCTTGTGGACACTCGCCAGCCGGGGGAACCACAGCAGGGGTGACATGCTGGGGTCCCTGCCCAGCCTGCAGACCTGTCTTTTTTTTTTCTCTGGTGGACATTTAAAAAATGCCTGCGCCAGGCGTGGTGGCTCACGCCTGTATTCCCAGCACTTTGGGAGGTCGAGGCGGGTGGATCACGAGGTCAAGAGATCGAGACCATCCTGGTCAACATGGTGAAACCCCGTCTCTACTAAAAATACAAAACATCAGCTGGGCATGGTGG